AAAATAATTACACTATCTATAATAAATATAATTAGATATATATAACCCAATAAAAAACATTGGTTTAAAACCCTTGAAACCAATATCATTTTTGTTTAGTAATAGGAATAAAACCTTGACCTCAAAAAGACTAAATCATCTACAATTATTAAAAGAAGACCATTAAGACTCACGTTAGAATTACTAGTTGCATGGTAAAAAATTTCTCAAAGAATCAAACGAATCAAGTGGATGCCCATCAGTTATTAATATTATGATTGGTATAATTAGCACATAAATGCGAGTTTATCTTTGATAGTGAACAAGATTAATCTTATCCCTCGTTGATATCAATCTAATAAAAACCAGGTCATGTGGTTGACACACAAGGGGTTTGGACAACAAAGATGGATTAGAACTAAAAATCTTTGAAATTCTATTTATAATACTACTATAATAACGAGAGTATTGATGCGCTAAGTAAATTGATATTAACGGGTAGAGTGTCTAGGGTACTACTGTTCTAACTGAAAAATTCTGCTGCAATTAACGTTAAATTAACAAATTCTACGGTGACGTATAAATAATACTTTAAAAAACAAACTTACAACAAAAAGAAAATTCTAATTTGGTCACAATAGTCTATATTCACCAATAATTTTTATTCTGCTCGCAGAATTCTGTACAAATCTGCGCAGATTATGCCCGCAGTACCCTGGATACTCTATTAACGGGGTAGATTGTATCACCTGAATTCTCATTTAAACATCTATTTCCATAATTTTAGTAATACCGAATGTATTTAATGTTTGAAATTTATTTGTAATTTATATAAAAAGAGGAAAATTCAAGGAATTTAAAATTCTAAATATATATACACAAAAATTTCGACATATAGTCAAGATGATTATTATGTAATTCCGTCTACATACTTTGTTATGAGAGCTTCCAAATGTGGAATTTATTATCATAAACGGCTTTTTAATACGCAAATCTCGATTTACGTATTTTTTTTTGAAAAGAATAATCTTTCACGCTCCTGTGTTCTTTCATTTAGACACATTTATGGAAATCATCGTTCTATATAAAGGAATAAAAAATCTGATGTTACCGTTTTGTAGACGTGTTGTATCCATACTTGTATTACATCTTGAAGTAATAGTTTAACGTTAATTAGATTATAATTTTTTGCGTAACATGAACGCGGACTTTTCAGTCCGTTAAAATAATTATCATATGTGGCTTTTCGTTTATTTTTATTTTCTTTTTTTCTTCGTTTTTGAAGGAATGTTTAGAGTATTACCAGAATGAAACCAGAGTCCCAAAAAAAGCAGAAAACCTATAAATCTTTACAGAAATGCTCAGAAATACCACAGAATCAAATAAACAACCAACAATTACGAAAAGAATTAAAGATAAAGGCATATATGAATGAGCTTTCTGATGAAATAAAGATCAGGATTTTTAAGTTTGTTCAATTCCCTTTAAGCTTGCTTTTGACATGTAAATGGTGGTATTTTATATCCATGGATTGTCAGGCGAGAGGTGAATGGATTATATACAATTACGGCAAGGCGCATGCACTTTTCCATGCAATAAGACTCGGTCCAAGCTTTATTAATGTGGGAGTAGTTCAAATTATAATTGCTAAAGATGGCATCATTTCCCGCTATTTTATTCAAAGGCTGTTAATGCACTTTGGATCATATGATCAAACTTTGCTCGATATGAAGCGTGATTATAGTAGAGGACTCGGTAATACTGATCAAGCACAGAATTCGCAAACAACTAAAGCACCTTGGGCTAGCGATACACCTATTTCTGTCTTTACCTTTCTTTTAAATGAAGCTTCAAGAAAGTTAAAAACCTTAGATCTTGTAGCTAAAGGAAATGATATGGAATTATTTCACTTTTTAAGTGCTGGACCTCATATCATTTCTCAAGCAAGACAAAAATTGAAAAATAATTTTGAATCACTTAAAGAATTAATTTTACGTTGGAAATTTATCCCCTTTCCTCCGAGACCAAAATCGAAACAAGTTGAAAATTTACAAAATAATGTTACTGAAGAATATCCTCCTAAGGACGGTTGTGAGAACAATAGACAGCTTAATGTTATCGCCCGTGCTATATTAATTTGTAAAGATTTAGTGAACCTGTGGAAGGAAATAGGATACTACGAAATTGTTCATGACGTAAATGATTTAGTAATGCAGGGAGCTGTCTTGATCCTCTTCCCTCCCACTCCAACATATGATTGGGTTAGGCCAGATACAAAAGGTGTGATCCAAAGGCTTTCAGAACTAATTGAACTCGGATTTGACCTGTCTCATTTGGTGATTCTAGATATACTACAGCTCTTTGAACACAGATTGAGTGACATTGGCAAAACTATAATGGATTCCTTTGTTAAAATTAGATGTCGAACAGATGAAACTCAGTCTAAATTTTATATAGATATTTTAACTGGTGCAATTGATCCAGAACGGAATATGAAAACAACTAATTTATGGGATTTTTTACGTTCGTACATTGGTGAAAAAAATGATCATTATTTTCTTAAAGCAATGAAGTATTATTATGATAAAGGTAATATTACTATTAAGAACGTTACAAGTATGGAAAGAAAACTTTTATTATCTCCAAAATATTATAACTGGGTACTGTTAAACTTTAAATCCCACCCAAAAGTAATATTTGAGTCCTTTAACGATATTTTAGAAACTCGGGTTAGTATAGACATAAATCTTCAGGAAAACAATGTCGTCAATGAAACCAATTCAATGATATGTGATACATTCAAGGTATATTGTCAAGCCTATTGTTATACCGAAGGACTCTTTTTACCTTCACAATTAAAAATTATTAGTAAAGCCGCAAGTGAAGATGTACTTGACCCGTTATTTAAATGTTATTTGCATATGGTGTTTGAAATTAAACAAACATTGACAACATTTGATATTCCACCGAAAATAACTGATGATATGAACCAGGATGACACGCTCAAGGTGGAAAACGCAACCTTAGTGCATAATCAAACGCCAATAACAAATGGTTTTTCTAAACATGAGTCACAAGATTATCCAAAACAGGTAGAAACAATGACTTTACAAAATGAAACAGCGGCAATAACTGAGGATATTCCTATAAAGGAAAATGACACTAAAAGGGAATTACAAGAGCAATGGTATAAAGAATTGAAAAAATACAATGACAGAACTTTTGACAGACCAAGTAAGTTCAATCTTTATCTAAAAGAGTTCTGGCAAATCCTTATCGAAACAGAGATTGGTAGAGAATTGAGAGAGAGAGAAAAAGATATTGAAAAATCATCTAATCCTCGAGTAAAGAAATGGAAATCAAATCAATATAATTTAGGGAAGCATCGAAAGATGTCGAAACATCGAAAGATGTCGAAACATCGAAAGATGTCGAAACATCGAAAGATGTCTCCCAATTCACCCAATTCAGCAAGAAATCGGAAAAAGATTGAACCGGTTCGAAAAAAATGCTCAAGACAATCAAATAGAAATGATTTATGATTCCGCAATTTTTAAATTTTTTACCAATTACCACAGGACCACAAAGATTGCGTTAACGACAATATGGCCTTTATACTGTATGCACACCTTAACTTTTTAAACGATCCATAGAGTCTTAGTATACAATTATTATTTTTAGTTTTTTTTTTTTTTTTTTTTTACGCCCCTTTTTGAGTGTTTTTTTTTTTTTTTAATTTAAGATTTTCACCGTTTTATTTTCGTTTTTTTTTTCTTTGACAGTTAATAAACCATTATTCATAGTTAAAATATACACATAAATACGCGAACAACAACTACAGTCTATCTTTTTGAACGGAATGAAAAGAGCGCACGTCATCAAGATAAGGTGTGGTACACAACTTTTATTCTTTAACGAGATTATACGTATATATCATTATTTTACATTACCACTTCTTTAACTAACTCTTAATACACTCCTACATTTTATTTTAATATAAAGGTATGATAAAAAAACAAAATTTAATCTTTTAAAGAGGTAATTACAATTTGAGAAATGTTATAAAAAGTTAACAGTTTTTTTCCTAATTTATATAATATATACATAACGACAGGTATCGATACGTATACGTACAAACATTACGTATTATCAACGCTAACGCTAAGTGGCAAATATTTACAAATTTGTATTGCATATTTCTGTATTTATATTATTTATGCACTTGTATTCTGAATACGTAAGAACTGAATCATATCATTTAGTAACTGCGCTAAGTGACAAATCACATTTGTGGCAAATGTCCAGATTACCAGAATCAATTCTGCTTACTAAAATAATGTATTTTATTATGAAGTCCCAACAGATTCTTACCAATCCAATTAGTTCAAAAGGTAAAATTTGAGATTATGAGATCTAGTATTCTAAATCAACTCCGACTATGCTGACACACAAATAGTTTTACAATTTTACATTTATGAATTTTTTTTTTCTATAGGTATATCATTGTGTAGCAAAAGTTTATCAACCTATCATATGTACGTTCTATTGTAAAAAAAAAAAAAATCATTTTTTTGCATCATAAAAGGTAATTTTATAAAAAGTATTTACTACATGAAAATCTTGGAAAATCGGTTCATTGTTTTTCTTCGAAAATGCTACAAATTTTCTACTTCCTAACTCATATTCATTTTCTTCAATTTTTTTGCCGATACATTATAGCATGTTGATGCATTATTGTTCTTGAATAAGATAATATGAAAAAAAAGTAGACAATAATAATTAGTGGAATGTTTAACAAGACCTTCAAAAAATTATGCAGCTTAACCATTATTATAGCACATTATGTTGCAGAATCGTGCATACTGTCGATGTCCGCTTATACGTATCTGGAATCTATGGATTTATTCATATTTGTTTAAAGTAAATCTGAATACAGTTCGGAGAAGTTTCGGCAACGAAAAAAAAAAGGGTTCTGTTAAACCAATATGGAAGATTGCTGTATAACAATTTAAAGACGAAACAGGAGATATTATCATTCGATATTATCATTCGATTTTGTTTGATTTTATAAGATGACTGACCTCCACAGAATATATATAGAATTACCCACATTCGTGGGTAATTTGAAATTCCGTGTGGAATCTTCCGAAGATGCGGACATTTCCGTAGTAGACTTGAAATGCCCATTCTTAGGTATGTATGTATGCGATTTTTTTTTTATATAGATGTGCAATACAAAAAATATGCCGTTTATTTTTGGATTAGTCCAGATTGATCCAATTGGCTTAACTAATCATAATTTCATAAAAATTTGGCTGAAGTTAAAATTTCAAATTAGACACTCCGAATCTCAGACCAATCGTTTGTTGTTTTCAAAAATACGTATCGGCATGGTAGCCGGAAATATCTTTTTTCAATTTTTTAAAATCTATTAACCGACATGAAAGCAAAAAAATTTTTCCAAAAACCTACAAATAATCTAGTAGAACTGAGAAAAAAATTTTTGCATTTATTCTTAGTTAATAGATTTTTTAAATTGAACTGGTTTTCAGGCACCATGATTAATTCTACGTTTTGATAACACAAATATTCAAACTCTTGATTTTTATGATTTAAATTGCGGGTGCATTAAACTCTATCTTGCTTAAACCTTGGCAGTAAAATTGTGCAAGATATTAAAGTTTAAGAAAAAATGATCAATATTTTTACTTTAAAATTTTATATTATATTTATATTATAAACTATTTTAACTTCAAAGTAGGAGGCAATATAGAGTATATACTGTAAATAGTATATCGGATCTCTTACAATCTTAGGACACCTATATAATAAAAGGCGTAATTTAATATTACTATAAGTGATTGCGATTGCGCAATCATTCGGAATCAGAGACTATTTTCCGAAATAATTGAATGATTCTTCATTTTAATGCAAATCATTCAATAACAGTCCCTAACAACTAAGTATGACGAAAGTTCTTTTTTATTTCTATTGAAAAACAGCAAACCTTTTTTTATTGTTACATATACATAATATAGTTGTTACGGTATGTTAACCATAAGTTACCAGTTCATTGAAAGACTTTTATATGATTGGCTGTTTAAATCAATTTAATTTTACATTTTTTATAAAGTACTTTTTAAAAAAAAAAAACTACAAAGAATAATTAAAAAAAAAAAAGGTATATAGAAATTTTTATTAACTCTATAATTGAAAATAACCAAAATCCCTTAGAGAAGTTAGCATGATAATAACCTAATTCTATCTATTTTTCCGAAGTCATTATTATGCTAACTTCTCTAAAACAAAAAGGATTTTTAATGGTGGAGTTTTACGACCCTAATAAAACTTTCTATATACTTTTTTATTTATTCTTTGTAGATTGTTTTTTTTTTTTAAAAAAAAGTACTTTAAACTGTATAAATAATATAAAATTAAATTGTTTTAAACAGCCAATCATATGGAAGTCTTTCAATGAACCAGTGAAATAAATCCATGGTAACTTATCGCGGTACTTACCGTGTAAGTTATCTAGTGATGCGGGAGAATTATTTTCACAATTGTGGAAATAATTCTCCCGCATCACTAGACAATAACAATTTATTTTGACTTATTATTCGCGCTCTAGCCAGCGATACATAAATTTGGGTTACAACTAGGACACGACCAGGGCGACCACCGATTTTACGGGTCATATGGGTAATGACATTGTTGCAAACGAATCAGTATTGGA